GATTTTGATTTGTTTGTGCAGTTAATTGCCACAAAAAATACCATGGTTTTCCTCTGAAGTTCACTGTGAGTTTGAAACCAAAACAGTTTCAAATTTCCTACATTTCTTTAGCTTACAACAAGTTTTATTTCTGACAGTTTTTCCGACCGCTCTACAATTATGAAGGCTAAAAAACAGTGATTTTAACATTCCAATATCTCCGCAACACTTCCTCCAATTTGTTTACAACTTCAGAATATGTTTATTTTATACTTAATGAACATATTGGACTCAAATGAAAAAAATGTCTAAATTTTGGTTCATTTGACCTTTAAAACAAATTATCACCTTGTGCAATGGCTGCTCTCCTGCGTTCTTTGCTGCCTCCTTCAGGGTAGGCCTAAAAAAATGTGTGTACACATACATATGCTTAGCTTTGGTTATTTTTATGTAACAGTATATCATAACAAAGCTGCAATGTCAACTGCAGTGTCATGCATCATAATCCAAGTATGATTTATGCTTATACCATCTGATGGTTCGTACAACTTCAAACAAACAAAATTCAAGGACTTTTCATGGACTTTTCAAGGACAAAAACTAGTTTTCAAGGACTCAGTTTTATTCACTAAATTGACATTCTTGGTACCCCTTTTAACACTTAAAACACTCAATTCAGTCATAACCTATTTACGGTATGTAAATAGTTCAGCCATGGTTGATGACATTAGTCTCTGAAATGACATTTTGGAAAGTGAGGTACAGAAATAATTTGAAATACAGAAATACAATAATATGATGATCTGATGATCAGCAAAGCTTAAGTTAACTTTGCTTTGAGAGAGAAATTTATTTCCACTGACAATATTATGAAACAATTAATACATGCTCTTAGTTCTTTCACCAACATTGAGCTGAATAATTATTTTAGTATATTACACATAAGCTGAATAAATTGCCAACATAAAATGTTACTTTATTTCTGACAATAAACCAGCAAATGGTCCAAAAGGTTTATGGTCACTTTGTTCCATGGTCACTTCGTTCTAACCACTTCGTTCCATCAAAGAGTCACTTC